ATCTCATTCTCCTTCCAGTAAAAGATGAGAACTACGAATCAGGCCCCAAAAAAAAAAAAAAAGATGATAACTACGAAGAGAATATAACGATGACAAGTTAATAAGAATGGAGCAATAGGATCCGTAAAAGTTCCTGTTTTTAAAATATTTTTTATGGATATGGGATACCAGTATTCAGTATTACTATCTTTTTGGCAAAAAAAAAAAGATATTGCCATATCGGTTTAATTAAAAGTAATTCTCTCAAAAAAAAATTTGCATTCACATTAATTCATTCAAGTTGAGCCCAGTATTCATAGAATTTTTTTAATAAGATCAAAGCGTGTTGGTAAAAACATTTATTTTGTTATTCAAGAATATATAAGGCAAATTTACACTTTGGCATTTAAATATTAGGAGGGAAAAGGAAAGTAGATGGCTGGCTGTTAAATGCAAAGCAGTGTGGTGCCAAACAAAATTGAATATTGAGAGATGAACGAAGGAACACCCCCCGGGGGGGCGGGGGAGGGTCGTTTCGAATTTACTGTTATTCCTCACATTCATTGGCTCATTCATATTGTCTGCTCTATTCCAAAAAAAAAAAAATATATACATATATATATATATATATATATATCAGCCAATAAATATTGGCAGCATCCACTTATTCTTTCACTTCTGGCTTGGCTTCTCCTTTGCCATCACGTATCATGTGATTTTTATTATTGTGGCCCAATAATTCTCTCAAAATTATAATATTCCACTGCTCACTGAATAATTTGAATTTTTTTTTTTTTGGGTTCACATTACTCAAAATTTTAAAAAATAATTCGGCAATGAGATGTAAATTAATTTGTTGTAAATTTTATAACATGTATTCATATAGTGAAATTAATTTCGTTTCATACTTATTTTATCGTCTCTGAATTATAACAAATATCCTGACACAACACTTGTTATTTACCATAAATATTATAGGTATGAAAACAAAGCGGGAGAATAATTTAGGTTTTGTATAAGTGATAGTAATATAATTGAGTTGTCGTGAGGAGAGAACACGCGGACGCTAACTCAAAATCATGATATGAGTTTCTGTGAATAGTATTAATAAAAAAAGGGTATTCATAGATCTCATATAAAAAGTTAAATATATAAATAATTCTAAAAAAAACTTAATTTCTTACAAATTGAACCTGTATATAATAAAACCCTACTATAAATACGAAAGCTTGATTTAGAAACATAAATTATATAATTTGACTCGTAAATATGGATTTTTTCATATTTCTCATGTATTTAATATAATAATATGATTTTTTTCACTAGTATAAAAAAAGAGAAAATTACCATAAGTCCCCAAAAAAGGATTTAGGGTATGTTTGGCAAGCACCCCAAACCATGGTTTGGGAAAAATGTTAGCCAAACACCCTTCAAAAAATCAAAACCATGGTTTGGGTTCAAAACCATGGTTTTGGGAAAAGCAGAAATTTTTTATTTTTGGAGAAAAAAAGGAGAGTGTGAGAGCCTATAGGATATATATCTTGTTATTTTTTTTATAAACATATTTTTTATAAACATATTTAATCTTATATCTTATAAATATATATACATATTAATTATTTATTAATTATATTATCTTATATATTATTAATATATGTTAATAAAAAATATTTTATTAATAATTTTATTCCTTCAAATTAAAATATATCATAAAATATATTTTTTCTATAATTATCATATTAATTTATGCCAATTTGTATATATAAAAAGTACTTCTAATAACAACTATCCAAACACTCACACTTCTCAAAATCACTTTTTTACAAAATCTATTCTTCCCAAAATCTATTTTTTTCAAAATCTATTCTCCAGAAGCTATTCTCCAAACTATGGTTTGGTTTCATCCAAACACACCCTTAATCATCAAAAAGTGTCAGTGACAAGTAAGCAATTTAAATATATTGTTATTTCTTATATTGAAAGTTGTCATTACAAACTCATCAATTGTTAACTGATTTTTAAATAATTAAATATCTTATTTAAAATCTAACACTCATTTGACCTTAATGTAGGGTTTAATTATTGAGTTCATCTTAATTGTAAATGTAAGATATATTTTTTATATTTATCAATTTTTTTAAGTTATTTCTATTGATAATTCTATGACCATTATCAAATAAGAAAGCAATAAAAATATTAAATAAGATAATTATAGTATTTTAAAAAAATCACTTCTTATTTTTTATAATTAACTAATTTATTTATTTTTTTAATTTAATTAAATGAATTAAATAGATCACATATTAAAAATATAGAGAATGGTAATTTTCAAATATATATATATATATATATATATCTACATATAGAGAAGGGAGGAATGAATCCCCGGGTGGGGGAAATTTGAGTAGATTAGATGGAAGGGTTGGGGGGCAAGGGAGAAAAGCGGCAATGATGACGTGGAGGGATCCGTAACGAGATGAAGGGTAGGGGTACGGAATGATATGACTATGAGTAGTGATTGGGGCCATATATGGCAAAGGAAAGGTGATTTTCGTAACTCCACGTAACCCCCCATCATCATTCTTCTCCTTTTTTTTTTTTTTTTTTAATCCATATATTTCTCATTTTTACTCCTTCGGAATAAGGTTTACATAAACACAGTAAATACCTTGTTTAATTAAGATGATCTTGCTAAAGTTATTTTCACATTATTATCTCATCATAAAAAATAAAATAACATTTAACACTATAATATTGTCTTTTAGTTATATCTAACATTCTAATTTAATATATAATTTAAAAATTAAATACACTATAAATAAGATTAAAATATTGAATCGCTAGATTCATAATATTTGCTTGATACTACTTCATCTTACAAATATTATCCTTAAAAAATTTGAATTTTTTTTAAAAAATGAAAAATCGTATCGATATTATCATTGGAATCTTCTATGCATGTTTCAAAAGCAAAGTTGTGATTAAAACAAAAAAAACATGAAAATCATGTATCCCAGGCCAAATTGATGACTAGAAACACAATACCACGGGTGGTCGGTCCAAGATTATACGAGTCTATTAGATCCAATGTTATTTTTTTTTTTAAATGAGAAAGTCCAACGCCATACTTAAAAGGTGAAAAAGGACATCAATGCATCAATGTTGATTGGATCTTTCCAATTTCCACGCCTATTTTAAGTAAAGAATTAAAGATATCAGACAAATCCCAAATCTTAATTTGCCAAATGGCTTGTAGTTTAATCAATTCTACATTCTCATGTACTTGTACAAGGCATGAACTATAAAGTGGGATTCATAATACGCGTATTTTCCTTTTTTTCCCGTCCCTTTCTTCTTTAGCATTTACTTCCTCCTGATTTAAATATTAAGTATTTTTTTATATTTCATGATTGGTTATAGGAAAATAATAAACAAGGACAGCGAAAATTACAAAATTTTAAATATGAAATTTTCATAAAAATGTGTTATTATTTGTGAGTAAATTATTTTTAAAAAATTGTTAGAGTATTATAATGAATGAGATTTTGTAACTTTCACGGTTTTTATTTGTTAAAATGTTATTTTCCATGATTATATTCATCATATAATAAGCGTATCTGAAAATTTAACAACAAATATTAAGAATTATCCAGCTTCGATTGAGCGAATGATAATAATTGTTACAATTAACAAGTTTTATACATTACCCCTTCTTTTTTCGTGGCCTTTTTTTTGTGTGTTAAAAAAGTCAATTTTATTAATATCACAAAAAAATTATTACACACACCAATAGCCGAAGCCAAGTTAAAAACACTCAAAAAAACCCTATCAGGACAAACTATCCCACACCTTGCTCCTAGCCAAAAACCAAGAAAGAAACAAATTAAGAGACAACCTAAAAACCGGATAAAACAAGAAACTCGTAACCAATACCTTCTTTCTTGAAACTTGTCCTGGTGGCCTTTGAGCATGGAGTCTCTCATATACCTATTAATATTTTTCTCAAAGATTTTCTTGGTTTTTGAAAATTCAATCATATATTTTTGGTGAAAAAAAGAAAAGAAAATATTCAATCATATATATAAGTTTGCGCGTTAAAAACATGTTTTCTCGAAAAGTTTAATAACGTTTAAGGATAATCATATGACTTGTAACAAGAGAAAGTTACCAAGGAACTCAATCATTAATAGATTTTTTTTATATGTTAATTTTTTTTTATCATAGTAAACTATGGTATTTACATGATTACATCTCATCTTTCGATATTTTGGGTATGTTTGACCAGAGATTTCTTTACGATTTTTCTTTTTATAGGCTCTTAATTAATTTATCTTTTTAATACCACGGAAGAATTAGAGCTTTGTCCCACAGGCTATTCTCTTCTGAAGTTTATTCTTGTAAAATTAGATATTTGGATGCTTGTCGTAATCGATACACCCACCTACAACTCTACAAGCACATTGTGACATTAAATTTGTAATATTTCATTTTAATTAAAACATCTGAAATTCTCAATCAATCAAATATATGTAGTAAAAAGCATAAACACTAGCATAACGTTAATAATAAACTTGTGATGTTATTATGAAGCATAATCATGCACAAATTCAAAAACTTTACACGAACTATTTATGGACGTCCTTAATCTTAATGTATTAAAATCATGATGTCACTAATTTAATTTGTCAAATTCATGATGGACACAATTAAAAACAGTCGTAAGATTAGATCACGAAAAGATGAAATTTTAATTTTACACCTCATGACATGAAGGATGATTCTATTTTTATTAAAAAGGTTAACTCACCTCGCCAGGAAAGACTCAACGAAGAGAATCCTGTGTCACTCCGATATGAGAAAGATGAGAAATTTAAGGAAGCGCGTTAAAACATAGAAATTACATATACCGAAAGCATGGGGCAAGTAGAGAGATAATATATGATTGCAGTAATGGTAGATGGGTCATTCATCGTCGTGTTTAAAAAGAGAGAGGAAGGGAGGGAGCGAGTAACATCCGTGAAGCTGCAGAGAGAGGTTTTAACGAAAGAGAGCTTAAAGAAAACTACTTTGTGCCCTCCCTCTCTCTGCTATTTGCGCTTCCTTTTATCTTTCGCATTCTTTTCTTCTCTTCGCTTCTATCCCTCTCATCTCATGTCTTTCTCACAACTCTTGCTCTGTTTCTGTGTTTCTTGTGCCCGGATGCTCTAGCTGCCTCATGAACATTGGATTCACTGAGATTTGCGTGATATTATAGCCCGGGCTCCTGTTTGGTGAGTGATATTTGGATTTTGGGTTTCAATCTCTTGGAGGGAGAAAAATTCACGGAATTAGAAGACCGAGAGAATGTCGCAATCTGGGAAGTCTGAGCGAGAACTGGGCTATGACTCTCTTGCGACTCGATTCCGTGATTCGCTGACCTGTGAAGAGAACAAGCCCGATTTCAAAGAACTCGATCTGGGTCCATTCATTTCGCCATTGAAAATCCGCAGCGCAGGTAATGCTAGCAGCGGCGGTGGAGCAGCTGCCACTTCGAGCTCGAGCTCGAGCTCCTCCGGCTCAGTCACAGGCAGAAGCAACGCTCCCAAGTTGCCCAGAAGACCCGACGGAAAGCCAAACCACCATTCTGGCGAGCTCACTGGCTATTTCGATACCAGCCCGAATGCCTCAGAGAGTCTCCGATCCGCTTCGGCAGCGAGCAATTCCAGGCCGGGTCATCGGAGATCGGTTTCGGCTGGAGCCCCATTGCTCTACTCCGGCGGAAGTCATAGCAGCCCGGGGAGTAATAATTGCTCGAACAGTGCAACTTCAGGGAGCAATTTATTCCCAACTGGTAATATTTGTCCTTCGGGAAAGATCCTCAAATCGGGCATGGTGTCTCGAGCTTCCAATAGAACTGATGTGTTGGGTTCTGGAACGGCAAACTATGGCCATGGCAATATAATGCGTGGTGGCACGAAATTGAGCAATTCTGGGCACGTCGTGGATGACAGTGGGGCTGGAAATTCTCAGCTCGGTGGAGCATCGGGGGGTGTTAGACGAGCAATGAGTGGTTCTGATCCGGAAGAGATGAAGAGGACTGGGAATGAGTTATATAGAAGAGGTAATTTTGTGGAGGCATTGTCATTGTACGATCGTGCTATTTCGATATCGCCCAATAATGCAGCCTACCGGAGTAACCGGGCAGCGGCGTTGACGGCGTTGGGGAGACTGGCCGAGGCAGCGAAGGAGTGCGAAGAGGCTGTGAAGTTGGAACCTAATTATGCTCGGGCACATCAGAGGCTGGCTTCTCTCTGCCTGCGGTAAATGCTCTGTCTTTCTCTCTGAATGTGGAACTATAAGATGCAATGAATCTGGGTTGTTTTGATCAACGTGATTTCTTTCTGTTTGCATTTGCTTTGGTTAATCTCCTTGATGATATGTCTTGCCGTGCTTCTTTATCTTTGACTTTGCTTTGAATGTTTGATCTTATTATTGGCTATGATAGCTATCAAATGAAATCGATGCACTTTACTATGAAATTCTGAATTCTGAATATACATTCCAAGCTGTTTTAAACCTTATGCTCATCTAACTGCTTATGAAGTTTCAGTTTGATCGAGGAAAATGTTGGTATTATATTTTGTTTTTGTTTTTGTTTTTCTTCTTTCTTTCAGTTACATTGTGAAGCATTGATATTCAACTGCTTGCTCATTTTCCTTTCCTGCATCTCATAAGCAGTTGATGACAACTGCAGACAATTTAGGCTTGCTCATGATTGTTTGTTTGTATTAGAGGCATAAACTTTGCGTTGGCTCATTTAACACTATTAATTTGGTAAATCTATAGCCTTGGACATATCGAACCCGCCAAGCGCCACCTCTATCTCCCTGGGCAACACGTGGATCAATCTGAACTGCAGAAGCTGAGGTTATTGGAGAAACACATGAACCAATGTGCAGAGGCAAGAAAGATTGGTGATTGGAAGACTGCACTTGGGGAATCAAATGCAGCCATTGCAGTTGGAGCAGATTTCTCACCTGAGGTAGATTCTTTAGCCTAAAATCTCAACTTGCTTTAGTGGACTTAATTTCCACCCCCTAACCTGCTATAATGGTACTTACAGCTTGTTGCTTGTAAAGTGGAAGCTTATTTAAAACTCCATCAGCTTGTGGATGCTGAGTCCAGTCTCTCAAACATTCCAAAGCTGGAAGGCTGTCCTTTATCCTGCTCTCAAACCAAGTTCTTTGGTATGTTTGGGGAAGCCTATGTGCACTTTGTTTATGCTCAGGTTCATATGGCCATGGGAAGGTAACAAACAAAAAATCATAAATTTGAAATGCAAAACTATACATGACTTTTAGCCTTTGGATACATAAATGGATAATCGGTCATTTCAGATTTGAGAATGCGGTAGCAGCAGCTGAAAAGGCCAGACTGATAGATTACAGCAATGTAGAAGTTGAGAGGGTTCTAAATACTGTGAAAATGGTAGCAAGAGCTCGTTCAAAGGGCAATGATCTCTTTAGCACTGGCAAATTTTCTGAAGCTTGTTCTGCTTATGGGGAAGGCCTCAAATATGACAGTTTCAACTATGTTCTGTATTGTAATAGAGCTGTTTGTTGGTCTAAACTTGGACTATGGGAAAAATCTGTTGAGGATTGTAACCAAGCTCTCAACATTCAGCCAAATTACACCAAGGCCCTCTTTCGTAGGGCCGCATCAAATGCAAAGGTGGGCATCTTCATTGCGTCTCTCTGTTCTCTTTTAAATTTTTGTTTACTGTTTGTGCTTATTATGATCCGTAATTTATAGCTTGAAAGATGGGCTGAAGTTGTGAAAGATTATGAGACCCTAAAACAAGAACTCCCGGGAGATAATGAAGTTGTCGAATCCCTTCGTAAGGCTCAGTTAGCTTTAATAAAATCTCGTGGGGAGGACCATGCTGGAAAGCATGAAGTTGAAGTTGGAGCTGTCTCTTCGTTGGATGAATTTAAAGCTGCTATTGCTTCTGCTGGTAATTTCAGTGTCTTCATTAAGGGCTCAACAGGGTTTATTTACCAGTGTTTGTCTTGCTTCATCTTTTGATTTAATGAAAATAGATGAACTTTCAGGTATTTCAGTAGTTCATTTCAAAGAGGCATCGGATGAACTATGTGGAGAAATATCCCCATTCATAAATATGCTGTGCGTCAGATACCCATCTGTTAAATTTATCAAGGTACGATAAAGTTGGTGACTTTTGTAGACTTTTCAGACATGACGCCACCATATGTCTAATTTTCTCTCCTTTGAAATTCTGTTGAAGGTTGATGTGGAGGAGTGTTTAGCTGTAGCAAGAGCTGAGAGCATAAGAACTGTCCCAACGTTCAAAATCTATAAAAATGGAACGAAGGTGAAGGAGATGATTCGGCCAACGCATAAGTTCTTAGAGGAGTCAGTAAGAAGCTATAGTTCCCTCTGAATTCTGTGATTATTCATAACAATTTGCATTCATGGACGAGCCAGACCCACAATTGAAGAGGGCGCTTACAAGGACATGCATCAGGTGCCCTTAGTTTGAGATTAGGATCATCAATTTTTCTTGTGATACACACAGTTGCATACAAATTCTTTCACAATACTTCTAGGCAAAAAAACCTCAGAAAGATAGCAGCAAGTTAGCTAAACATTTGAAATGTTTGATTTGATGTATATCCAAAGGGTATCTTTCTTTTTTTCCCTCTTCTTTTATGTTTCTTCTGGGCTGCACTGCATGATGCTTATGCCAGCCTTATCACAAGAAAGTTGTTTTGGGCTCTGGCTAGGAACCTACACAAAAGCAGGAGGAAAAGAGGCTGTCGAAGTTTAATTATAGTCTCTCCTGTTAAATAAGCACACGGACAGAGAAAAGTGTGTGAGAGACGTGGGTAAAGTGTGGCAAATAGCTACAATTAGATGGCTTTAAGCAAGTACTTTATGGGATTTTAGATTCGGGGACCATTGGTAATATGATTTTGGAGGACAGATCATTTCGAAAAAATATCAGAGTAAGATGGGTCGCTTTAGATTGGTCCTACTCACACACTGATGTGATCAGAAAGCACGTTATAGAGAGCAGTGAGCTGAAGCGGGTGTTAATTTTGTTCGTCCATGGAGATGCCAAATGCTAATAATGGTGGGTGCTGGTTTGATTGAAACACAGTGAGTGTCTCTCTTCTCAGTGATGACTTTTTGCTGATGCATTATTATTATTTTATTTATTATGGCCGTTCTGACTTCTGAGTCTGAGGGATTCTCTTTGAAATTCGTGTTCCACCAATCACACATTTCCATGTCCTCCATTCATTTTTTTGGGGTATAACCCTGCTGTTTCAGACCATTCTTATCCAAACCGAATCGGATCTGCCAAATGCCAATATCCAGGAATCATTTTCTCTCTAGCATCTCTCCTTTTTTTCAAATATATGTGTCTTGGTGTTTGTGAAACAGTTGATATGTGAATGAGTGTTCAAATTCAGAATCACAAGTTTGTTGTCCCGGATTGCTATGAGGATTCTTGAGTGACTGGGTTTTTAAGAAGATTAGCCTGAAATAATTATATTTATAAATTAGTTTGTACATATTTTGACTTAAAAAAGTGAATGAGCACATCGATTGGAGGTGGCGGATTATTAAATGGGGAAATTAATAAATTATTTCTTGATATTAATATTAACAACTCCTATTACTGAATGGAAGGAAATGACCAATTATCAATTTCGAATATTTTTAAAAACGTGCGAATTCTTGAACTTCGTTACGAGGAAAGGTCAAATAGTTGGTGAAGTCCTACTAAATTAGTCCATGTTTTATTGGGATTGAGAAGCGCTAGCTCAGCAACCAAGTACAAGCAATTTGCACTCACACTGCTACAAGTTAATGTTTACTAATTGAGTGAATTAATAAATTATTTCTCAAATCTTTCATTTAATCTTAGTCTTTAAAAACATCGTGCTTATTTAGTCCCCAAGGAAGTACATCTGAATTCATCGCAAGTCGATCAATCCCTTAAAGATGACTTAGCCAGCAAACTCAGGTGACGATTTGGAATATTCAATGAAATGATTAAGCTACATATTCTTAAAAACTCAGCGCCGAATTGCTAAACTTGGTTATTTTGTGAATTAATTGAGAAGAAAAGGCTCAACACAATAATTTAGGACCGGAAAATTAGACTCACCAGGCTCGTAGAGCAGAAAGATTACATATAGTCGTGTGAACCGAAAGCTGCAGTTTAAGTTCTTATTATATTGGGAAAGCAGATGGTGAAATTCGTGCAGCGAGTGGAAATTAATAATTAAAAATCACTGGCCAGCGGCGAAGGCCTCCACAGGGAAGGTCTTGGTGATACCAGCAAGGCTCTTGAAGTGGATCTTCCTGGCGGGGAGGTCATCCACAGTGATCTCGCTCACCGGCGGCCACAACATCAGCTCCTTGGCCTTCACTCCTTTCAGCTTCTTTATCTTCTTCTTGGAAACGTACCCTGTGATCTCTGAGTCGTAGCTCACCAGCTTGCTTATCATCTTGAATTCATGTTCCACCTTCTTCTTCTGCACTATCCACATGTACCCAGTCCCCTTCACAAACCCTACTTCCACCACTTCTCTCAGTGGCAGCAGCCCCGCCGGCAGCTCGTACTCCTCCAGAAGCGACGCTGCCATCTTCATCCCTTCCTCGTTCCCCTTCTTAACGATCCCTCCTTCCTTTTCTGCCATTTTTTTCTTCACTTCCTTTGTTTGTTGGGTTGGTTGATGGGGGAACTTTGTGCCGTCTGAGCTGTGTATATGTAGAGTCTACTGAAAATGGCAAGGACGAGGAGGGACAAAGTTCGTGCTTGGTTATGATCGAAATGTCTTCTTTGTATGCATCGTTAACTTTGTCAATAAGCATTTGTCACTGAATTGAGCATGCATGTTTCTCGAGATATACGAAGTTTAGATATGTCTGTTTCTTCCGTTATACTGTAGCAACAAGACAGGGAGTTGCAATATGTAACGGCGTCTCCATTAAAATTATATCTTGCCACACCCCAAAGTAACCACGATCTGTTTAGTTTTTCTGGTTGAGATCACATTATGGGGGAATCAATGACGGACTGAAATTAAGGACATTCTCTGACTGTAGCTAATACTCACCAGTCACCAACCATGGCATACGAGGCATCAAATCCTATGTACAGTGCCAGCCGCTTGTTATAACCTCTAATATGGGGCTTGTGAGATTGCCAAAGTGTAACAATTAAGCCCGGCCGGATTCAGGATCTGTTTGTTCATCTTGTACAATGTCGTACTGATTTGTGTAATGAACATATATATATTACTCCTTCGATCCTAAATATAGACCCTTATATACATTATATAAGGGTTTTATATTTAGGATAAGTATGATATTTTAATGTGTATAGCTAGCTTTACAATGCATATTATACTAATAGGTGTGATCGATTCATTGAAACGGGCTACTAAATCATGTCAGAATCATACAAACAAATTTGTCAATGCGTTATTTACGCTATCCGGTATTTAATATAAGAGTTAGTTTGACATTTAATTTGATTCTAAATATAACATTCAATCTATTTTGTCTTTATATTTATCTATTTTTTAAAGTAATCCCTGTATTAGCTATATAAGTTAAATATTTCATCAAATAATAGTTCTAACTAATACACATGATTAGAAATGATATTTTAGGGAAGATAACAACTATTTATTGCAAATAATTAACTTACCAAACTTTCTTAATTAATTTGTTCAAATTAGTGAACTAGCTCTTATATTATATTAAAGACTGGGGACAGTATTTTATAAAATGCAACGTAGCTGTAAACATAATGCACCTCTCATTTATTCAATGAAAATTGTGGAAAACCTCCCTGTGTATAATATTGATCTGTTATTGCTTTTGAGTTCTTGTCACCGGCTGTCATGAATCAGAATTTTCAAGCCGTTCATACTTTTAACTGTAGTTTGCCTTGTTTAAACACTGATTTTTTTTTTTGTTCTTGATAAGAGTTTAAACACTGATTTTGTGAATATAATCCTACGTATTACACAATGACTCCCTGACTCTTGTTATCGCCATTGCAAATGATACGATTAACAGTACTCTTCATGTAACTTAAAGGTTTTACTATATCTAATGGTACTCAGTACTCACCAACCGTCGTGCTTCATACATGCCAAACACAAGCATTCGGAGCATGATTCGAAACTTACGGTGCCTGCCGGTTGTTATTGTCATAACGCTTTTAATTAATCACCCTCACACACCAACACACCACACACACCATCTACTACGCATTACCTCTTCTAATTCTTAATATAAGACCTAAATAACTAATTTGAAGAAATTTAAAAAATTATTAAATTATTTTAAAGTATTTATATTTATCATTTTATATACTTCAAACTAAATTGCCTTACTTATAAGTTGATATATAATTTAATAATCTACATAAATATTTAAAAAAAAAGATTATGTAACATACATTATAATTAAGTAATTTAATTTAAAAATTAGTCAACTAAATCCTATATTAAGAATTGAAAGAGATACTTCCTTATTTTGCACCTCATGCGTACTTCCGTGACTGCCCAAGAGTGTGAAATCCATCACCATGTAGTTGAAAGAGATCTTGCAATTTTCATTGATAGAAATTAAAACAAGAGTATATCACTCATAAGTATTCTCTCAAAAAATAATAATAATAATAATAATAATATATCATCACTGCACGTGCGCGCTTCCCCCTCCAACTCAAAGCTTTCAACTTTTAGATCAGGCAGCGTCAGGGAAAGATGTTCTCGATGCAAGGCTCATGTTCCTCAGAAGGTTTTTGTGGGAACACTGGTGTTTGATGCATTGGCACTGATTCTTCTTTTTCTTCTTCAATCCATTGGTAATTGCTTCTTGAACTTTCTCGTGGTCACTCCTCGCTCCCATCGAGATCGATCTGACGAAGTCCTTCTCTTCCTTACCACTCCTCTGTCCCTCCTGACTCTCTCCCCACAGCGCTCTCATCCCTTCTCTAACCTCACACTCCCTCTCTTCATGCATTCCCTCGCAGAACCCACAACATTCAACCACTTCCTTCCTGCTTCGAATGCTTCTCATCTCTTCATAACTGAAAGCCAGCCTCAACGCATCGTTTAGAGAGTTGGGTTTCTGCAGCAGAATCCATTCCTGAAACTCTGTTCTCAATCCATCTATGAACACTCCTTTCAGCAAAGCCTCAGATAGCCCGTGTTCCGGCCATCTCTGTAAAATCCGTTGCAGTCTCAGAAAGTAAGATCTCACACTTTCACCTTCGCCCTGGTTGATCCTCATAAGCTCTGATCTTAAGTCCTCCACCACTTCGATCCTATGGTACGCTTCTAAAAATGACGACTTTATCTCATCCCAAGTGAGACTAGGGTACGGCTCGATGTTGAGGTCGTACCAGAGCGCGGCTTCTTCCTCGAGCGTCACTGGGAAGATCCTCATGCACATGTCAATGGAGGAAGCGCCGTTTGCTCTGCAAACTTTGTTGAAACGACTCAAATGGGAGATTGGGCATTCCGTTGCAGTGCCACGGAAAATCGGTAAAGGAGCAATTTTTATGTACGGAGTCATGGGGTGTGAGAGATTTAACAAATTGGAAGCCGACATTGAAGAGCTTTTTCCTTGAATGTTATTGCTCTCAGGAATATATTTAGTGGGTTCTCCTGAGGAAGAAGGGTCATCGTGTGCGTTGGAAACGGATTCGATGTCGTCGTCTTTTTCAAATGGTTCGTATGCATCTCCTTGGGATTCGTCGTACAGAGATTGGGAAGCAGAAGCGTCGGAGTAATCGTCACCGTCGTCTTCGGTTTTCTTCTCTCTTAGGATACTCCTGCGATGTTTACCGCCAACAGCGGCGGTAGCAGGGGATGAAAGGGAGAATTCAGGTGAATGCGGAGGTGGTCGGCGACGGTGTTTACGAGTCATGATTGATTTCCTCCCAAACGGCTAATGGCTATGATCAAGCAGGCGATGAAATGGGATGGAGGGAAAATAACCGCCAGTTACCGTTCGTTGGGGAAATGGGCCAATTGGGCTTTCCACAATCGTTTGGGTTTTTATGATCCTCCGACACTTGAAAAAACAAAAGGTTTGCTTTTACCAGCAGAAAATAGTTCTATACAATTTGACAGTAATAGAAAAAAAACAAAAGGTTTGCTTTTACCAGCAGAAAATAGTTTTATACAATTTGACAGTAATAGAAATGATTTTGAGTTTCGAGATATCTTCACATAGAGTTCTTAGATTCTATATATTTAAATATTTTTTTATAATCAGATATTTTTCAAAAAAGTAATTTATTTTATCTACAGTTTGCCCCGTGTGTAAATTGACAAATAATTAATTTAAAATGAAATGGCATGTGACTGCAGATTGATATAAAAATGATGGAATGATAATGTTTTCTTGTTAACTCAAAAATTATTAATTATTTCAAGCACTGAAGCTTTGTTGACTATAGTTTCATAAAAATTAAAAATGGCATTTTTTGGTCGGGGAAACAAAATGAGATATTTACTCGACTTTCGCTTGGCCAGATATGTGGCGCGATGCCGGACACACATAGTGCAGTATCATAGCTGCGCTTTCTTCAGCTCTCCGACCATCCGTTTGGCGCTCAATTCCGTTGAGCACCACAAATGGCGGTTCTCAACTACATATCTGTGACCTCTTCTGCTACACCCATCTCACCGGAGCCTCCAACTCCGCCTATAACGGACCCAAGACCGACGAAGATCCTTTTGCCAAAGAAAAAGCCTATGAAATGGTCCACTGGGTTGGCTCCGGGGGAATACGGTGGTCCTCCCACCACCTCCAAGCTTCGCAAGTATTGGGGAGGCGAGGAAGAAGACCCCTTAAACTCTGATGACTTTATGTGGAACAAAGACTTTGTGGATCGGTTTCAAAGGTTGATTCAGGAACCTGAATCTTCCATTGACGCAGCTCCTGCACAGGTCCCCAGTATCTTCGCTTTACTCTCAGTTCTTTGCTTTCTGAGTGTCTTCGTATTGTGTTGATTTTTTTTATTTAGATTGTTGATTGGTTCGGCAATTTGATCGTGGGAAGTAAGTTCTGGCTAATTATTCTGATTTCTGAGGGCTCTCTGTGGGTATTTACTTATCCAATGAAATAAAAACACCAACACTGGCCTTCTATAGAGCTATCTATTTTATAAGAAAAAAAATATTTTGCTTACAACAGCTAGCCGGTCAAAATCTTGTCATGGTATGTCAGTGGACATTAAACATGCATTATGGATGTGCTAGAAAAGTTTTGTTAACTAGTAAACAATCGATATCAATATTTCCAGAACGGCATGCTTTATTTATCGAAGTCTATGTAATGTATGTTAGGTCCACGTAGTTATGTATATTTAGTCCTCTTTACCTTATTGTTGTTGGTTGATTCTGGGTTCTCCTGGGATCCATAATGGCAAACATTAAAATTCCCAAGTTTTCGTTCTCTTTTGCTTGGTGACTACATAAGATTTGCTAAATGATATCTAATTAACTACCTACTGTTCGCTTGTGCTTTTTTGAGTTTGGTCACATCAATGGAATTTGTTGTAAACAGGGAGAGCCATCTGGATTTCTGAGCTTAAATAGGGTCATGAGCCTTGACAGGTCTTATTCTACGGTAGACTAAATTCAAATCTTCAAATGTCGTAGCATTTTATTTGCAATTATTTAACTGGATTATATTACCAGTTTAGAAGTTGATTTGAGCAAAGAACTCTCGGCTCCTGCAAAAAGAATTCCAGATCAGCCAGTTGAGGCAGCAACTAAAGTAAGGGAGTTTTCTTTGGACCTTGAGCTGATCATTATATTTTATGGATTTTAATGTATCATACCCATATATGATTTTACTGGTCCTTTTCAAATTTTATGGTCATCAGATCACTGAAAGCAAGAGAGCAAGATGGAGATTGGCACCAACACGCCGTGAGCAAGACAAATGGGACAGAGCTACCAAGGCCGCAACTGGAGGCAGTGTAAGTAATGTTTGCCATCATTTGAACTTCCAGCTTCTGGAACTAACCACATAATGTTTGCTGCTGTAAAACATAAAGCTCAATTTTCACTTTAGAACCAACAAAAGACGTCTGGCAGTGTTTGGCATCTATGGCACAAATTTGTAGTTGTGTTCTTCTTTTCTAATATTGGTTAAATATACATACAGGATGTGATGTTTAGGGAAATAAGGCAGTCTCGCGAAGACCCAGCAGTATTGGCTGCTCGATCTGAAGAGCAGTATGATAAGGTAATCAATTAGCATTGCATGCTTTTGTTTGCTGGTTACCTTTTCCATTTTGACACTGATTAAATATCAAATAATTAATTCTTTTCTTTAACATATTCTTTCTTCCCCAGTTGAAAATGAAGTTACAAATCCTCACACTGGGTATAGGTGGCGTGGGTCTAGTATCTGCTTATGTTTCTTATTCTGCTGAGGTGGCAGCTAGGTACTTATGCCTTCATGCGCTGAATCAGTTTTTTCCCTATGTGCTCATGCTAAATGTATCTTTCACCTATGCTTTCCGTATGGCACAATTTATAATTCCGCTTAATAGAACCAACGCCATCCACACTATCATAATTCCTTGACTCTTACACATGCTAGATTTTGCTGTAAATTGATTGAACTAAGCATATTTTTGGTTACATGGTGCCGTTACAACTCATGACTTGATTGGTGATAGCAAAATGCTCTCACCAACAAGCCAGAAGTTTGATGGGCTGAACTAAGCATCTTTTTAACTGCTCGCTCATTTCTTATTATGATGGAGCATTTCATATTTTAGAGAGGATTTTAGAGAAAAAGAAATCAAAATGGAAGGAAATTAAATGGAAGGTTGAATATTTAGCTCCCCTTGTCTGGAAATTCAATGTGAAAGGGGATGGGAATGTATCTTTCATGTATTTGATTAGCAGAGTGAGAGCAAGGAAAATAAATTAATTATGGAGAGACATATCTTCTCTCTTTATTTTGCCCAAATTCAATAGAATTTTGGGGGAGGGCTTTCTCATGGATTCCACTACTCCGGTAAACACCCCCCCCCCCCAAAAAAAAAGAAAAAAAGAGAAGGCCTTCGAATTTGTGTTTGTTCTGCCTGACTTAAACCTGAACATATCTCTAGGCAGTACTAGCGATTTTTTCTTTTTCCTTTCCTATTTTTCCTTACGGTGATGGTTATTTGCTATTATTAAAATCCAAAATTCCTGGGTATATTTTCAAATAACCATTGAGAGACCAGTTGGATTGCTACTTGAATTTTAGTCACCTTATATTCATAAAATACTGGTGCAAGGTAAAGTCACAGTCAATTGCTGATGTTTTAGACGATCTAGGATTCTTTACAATGGAGTTGTGAGTACTATTTTCTATCCATGATTTCTAATGCATGATTATCTTTCGTATGTTCAGCTTTGGTGCTGGCTTGCTTGGTTCATTGGTATATATACGCATGCTGGGCAGTAGTGTGGACTCGCTGAAAACGGACGGTGCAAAGGGCCTTGTCAAGTAATTCGTAGATGATAGAATCAATCTAAAATTTTAACTTCTTCACGACACCCCCAGTATAATAGAGCATTTCGGTTCCTGCCATTAAGACTATTGGTTGACTAATCCAATTTTGCTTATAGTATGCTATTAATTATTTTTCAATAATTAGCAGGAGCACAAATTACCCTTGGTTGAGATGCCCTTAACATAGTGGTCATACCTCAATTTCACTAGTATGATAAATAAGCGATCACTTTATCTGATTCTCAGGGTTTAACAGAGGCTTATTGGGTGTTAATTGCAGGGGAGCAATTGGGCAGCCTAGGTTACTGGTTCCTGTTGTACTAGTTATGATTTACAATCGTTGGAATTCGTAAGTAACCTTCTGGCATGCATGCACTTGGATCAGTCACTCTTTTGCTCATAAAGCCATATTTATCTGCTAATATTCAAAGATACCTAGCATAGTAATTATCTTTTTCCTCCGTTTTGGACTACATTGTTTTTCTGTTTCTTGTTTTCTGCAATGACCTTTCAATAACTTCATTTTCAGGATTCTTGTTCCAGAATTTGGATCTATGCACTTGGAATTGATACCAATGCTAGTGGGATTTTTTACATACAAGATTGCTACTTTTGTTCAAGCCATAGAGGACACGTTTACTGTACCTGTGAAAAAGACCTAAACACTGGGGCTGGAAAAAACAAAAAGCGCTTTTCTCTTCCCTTGTATCGAAAAAAAGAAGAAAAATCCTTGAGCTTCTTTTGCCATTGCTTATGTACCTCCTGATGCAACTATAAAGCTATTTTGCTCAATGGCCAAGGCTACATCCTATTGTCTTATTTGTGAACTACAGTAAAAAATATATTATACTCCTCCTCCGGTCTTTAATATAAAACTCATTTAATTAATTTGATTAGATTAAGAAAGTTAGGTAAGTTAGTTAATTATAAAAAAAAGTAACTTAGATAAGTTAGTTAATTATAAGAAAAGTAACGCATTTTTTCTAAAACACTATAATCATCTTTTTTAATACCCTTCTCCCTCTTCTACTTGATTATGATTGAGGGAGTATTCATATGAGTAATTTAGAGAAAACTGATAAATATAAGAAATAGATCTTATATTTAGGATCAAAACCAATTTAAGAATTGTGTCTTATATTAAGAATCAGAGGAGTACAAAACAATTCCATGCAATTCACTCTTATTTTGCACACGATGCCTGCTTTTGATGGAAATAGCGCAATATTATTTTTGTAGATTTACTTGAGCATATTATTAAACTATTGTATTGGTGGGATATAAGATAAAACAAAAGTTGTACTATAAGTTTTTAACTTATAGCAATTTCATTTTTGACTCTCAATGGTTGCGTTGAAAGTACTGTTTTATGTATATATACTATCTAATTAAGTGCTACAAAGTTATGACTCATTTTAATAGATCTTAACTATAGTTAAATATAATTGTTCGCTTAATTAACTACAATTAAAATATAATAATTCCAAATTTATAAGCTCCCTGTGCGTAAGGGGAAAGCATATGCTTGTTTGCCCACAACATCGACAATTTTTTTATTTTTTGGGTGGGGGGTGTGAATGCTCGTGATTTGGTTAAAACATCAGTTCTTTTCTAATCCACAAGTAAGAGATCTTTCAGATTACTAAGCTTTCAATAATAATAAGAAATAATCTGTAAGGGTTGATAACTGATCCATGAAAAGCATCAAATCAACGATCAAAAAACAATAACTACGACCAAGGTTTGAATTCCATCTCAAATAGAATTGTTTCCAATAAGAGGACATCTATCAAATCTCTACTAGGAGAGGCGTTACATTTGATGCTTGAAAGTATTTTGAATAGGATTAAAAATACCTATGCGTATTTTTTTAAAAAAAAAAAAGAAAAGCAAACAAGAACTACGAAGTGATCGCGATTTGAGAGAGAGAAATGCAGAAGCGCGTCAACACCTTGTTGGCAGTACAAAACAAGGCCTGGCTTTATTATATAGCTAAAGAGAGCAATATAGTTACTTCGAAATCATTCCAAATAGATAACAATATCTAAAGTTATATATCCTTCGCATCAACATGCATTTTTGGCGAGAAAAACATAGACATGCATGGCTCAGCCGGTGTTTTGCATGCCAGCAGCAATGCCTTTCATGGTCAAAATAAGGGTATCCTCGAGACCGGGTGCGTACTCGCTTTTAGGGTTAAGCTTGACAAGTTCTGCTGCTGGCTTGCCTGATTCCATATACTCCTTCGATAAGTGTGGCCTCAACTTCACATGGTAGTCTGGATCACGTATTCTCTTTAATGTGTATGCCTGCAACACGTTCAGGGTTGTGATGTATGAATCACGAAGACGAAGTCTTTGCTTCAGGTACGGGTCCCCTTCAAGAACATCCTTATGCCCCGCAATCTGCAAAACAACATTCAAACCAACAATGTTCATCACTGATAACATCACATCCTATAAAATTCTTTTCCCAGAATCAGAGCACATGAAGTGCAGGGAATGACAAAAAGCAGAGAATTTAGTTTATCGTTGTTTTAATGTTACCCAAGATTTTACTATGGCATGGAATGAGATGTCACACAAACTGTATTTTCTCCCTATATATAGCTTTTAATTAACACATCCAAAATGGCCCCATAATTGAAAGAAAGGAGGAAAATGGGAAGAAGTAGTTTTCTCAAATTTTACTGTTGCTTGAAGTTATGCTTTAAACAAGGATATAACGATTTAGTGAATGCTGAACTAAAATAGTTTGTTGTTCATACCTAACAATAACAGCAGCAGAATATATGAGAACTTTAGCAAGAAAAGTCATGAATATAGACATTGGTAGTTTGGTACCTGGAGGAGGAAATTCTTGGTTTCTTCAAATTTATCCCTTAGACACTCTCCAAATGACAATAGTTCTCCTGAGACTAAAAGTTTATCATAAAGTGCAGCAATCCCTGGGTCTCCCTTGGCGAACACCATCTCAACCAAGTCAAGAGTGACTCTGAAGAACGGCCACTGATTGTACATAACTTGAAGCATTTGGAGATTCCTAGGATCCTTCTCAATTGCATGCTTAAATGCTGCACCAAAACCGAGCCATACTGGTAAATGAAACCTTGTCTGTGTCCACGCAAATATCCATGGGATAGCTCGCAGTGATTCAATCCCTCCACTTGGTTTTCTTTTTGATGGACGACTCCCAATGTTCATTCTTCCATACTCCAACTCAGGTGTAGCCTGCATTTTCCATCATTACAATAAGAACAAGAAAAAAAGGGAGAAAGAAGGAAAGACATTGCAGGTCCATAAGTACTGTCAAAAGAAGATGAAAAATACTTGATAAGAAAAGAATGCTAGGTATACCCATGGGTTTAGCTCACTTAAATTTCTTAGGAGCCAAGAACTAATACCAAGGGAATTAAAATAGATTGAAAATAATACTTACACTTCTGAAGTATTCAACAAAGCGGGGTTCCTGGAAAACAACAGAGCGATACTCCTTCGTGGCGATGATTGCGATCTCATCCATGAGAGCACGCCATTCTGGTTTAGGTGACACAGGAGGGTGCATTCCATGCTCAAGTGTAGCAGCAGTAAAGCGCTGAAGTGTCCTAAAGCACAAGTGCTCCTCTCCAAACGACTGTTCAATAACTTCACCTTGGACAGTCACACGAAGAGACCCATGAATTGTCTCGGGAGGCTGAGACAATATAGCAAGATGAGTAGGGCCTCCTCCTCTTCCAACAGTCCCTCCTCTTCCATGGAACATTGTAAGCTTCACACCAAAGTCTTTGGCAACCTTTATCAGCTCTTCTTGAGCCTTGTACAGTGCCCAAGCTGCTGAAAGGCGTCCCGCATCTTTACCTGAATCTGAGTATCCAATCATAACCTCTTGCTTTCCATTGATTCGGTTTCTGTACCAATCAATAGAGAATAGGCGAGCTACTGCAGCCGGTGCAGCTTCAAGATCAGCAAGCTTTTCAAACAAAGGGACAACTCTTAATGGCTGTTTCACATGACATTCACGCTGTAGGAGTTCTACAGCAAGCACGTCAGATGGTGCTGTCGCCATTGAGATGATGTAGGCTCCAAAGCTGTCTGCGGGAAGCTCTGAAATGACATGGAAGGTTTCTAAAACATCGGCAATTTCATCAGTTTTGGGAAGATCAGGGCCGAATAGGGGGCGCTTGCCACTGAGTTCAGACAAGAGCCATTCTTGCCTGCGTTCCTCGGACCATTCTCGGTAAGATCCAATCTCCAAATGTTGCGTGATTGCATTCATGACATCAGTGTGCCTGTCTGATTCTTGACGGATGTCAAGTCTAACAAGTGAGAGTCCAAATGTAGAAACTTGTCTCAGGAAATCAAGGAGGCTTCCATCAGCAATTGCACGGTCACCACAAGCACAGAGTGACCTATAGCAGAGCTCCAGAGGCTCCAGGAACTACAACAAATTGCCATCATTTTCTTGTTAAGCATAATTGAACAATAAACCATGATTCATGTCTCAGAAATGATCAAGAGCCAAAACAAAAACTGGAAGGATATGGGAATCTGCCATTGTTAGTACTTATAGTAACATTAAGGTTGTCTCTTTAGGATGTCAGATAGTTGAAGCTGTTGTGAGAGGACAGTACCTGCTCAACATTTGTGAAGGTTGTCTCCTCAGGGATCTCAGAGTTTCCATGGGCTAATAAGTGGCGAGCACGTTCGCGTGTATTGTATAGCTTGTCCCTCACATCACCCAGAATAACACGATATGGCTCATTTGGAGGAATTTGTTTCCAAAACTCTGCAGCAATAAAACATTGGTTTTGGTAAGGCCAATCGAAATTTAATTTTCAATAGAGATAACAATAGTTCAAAAGTTTCATTCACAACAAAATGGTATCATTATTTCATACCAATATAATGTTTAGCATCTCTCTTAGACGACCCATGGAGTTGATCAGCACGAAAGCGAAGCTCATCATTGCACCGCCACATGGACAACTGAAACATAATGTAACATGTAAGACTAAGAACCTTCTTGCAAATAATGGAAATAATAATAAACAAGAGAGAGAACTGTACGTTGATACCTCAAACATGAGATCCTCAATTTGAGAGAAATATAAATTAGCAGCCATCATTCTGGCCAATAAGCATACGTCCCTTGTAACCTCAGGTGTTACTCTGGGGTTCCCTGTAATGCACATTAGATAAAGAGGTCCAATGAAAATCAGCCTCGAACGACATGCAAGAGACATAATGGACGAAGAAAACATGAAGAATCAGATATTTTGAACCTATATCGTATCATCACGTGAAAAGAAAAGTTCAGAAGGCTAACAAAGAGAATTGCTATGTAATTGAAAAACACGGAAGAAGAAAGATACCATCACGATCCCCTCCCATCCAAGAAGAGAATTGAATGACAGGAGCATTATATGGCACACGTTCATTTATTCCAATGTTCTTCAAAGCTGTGTCAACCCGACGCAAAAACTTTGGTACACCCTTCCAAATTGTCTCATGGAAGTAGCTCATTCCTGCCCTCATCTCATCTTGTGGGGTAGGGGGAGTCCTTCGAATTTCATCTGTACGAAATGCAGCTTGAATCTGCATACCCCCGGGGGGGGGGGGGGGGACACTTTAAGCCATTGCAAGCAAAGGTGCGGTACTTATCTATGTGGATCATATAAAGCATTTAGTGACAAGAAGACAATGTACGACAGTAGATATTTATGCACCTCTCTTTGTAAAGCCTCGTCAAGTTCCTGCTTATCATCAGGTGTTATGTCTTTAGCATATAACTGAGTCAAACAATCCCTTATCCTGAAATTG